TCTATTTTCTGCCATCCTTTTCAGTTGGTTCCACGATTGCCCACAATCTCTCATCTCCTCCTTGCCACACAATCTCCTCCATGTCACCCTCGTACCGACGACACACTCGTCACTTCCCATCGGGATTCCACACTAGGGCCTGGCGCGCAATGTCATTCGACGGCCTCGTCAATGTATGCCCAATCCATCTCCATTTTCTCCTACATATTTGTTGAGCGATTGGATCTCGACTGTTGGTTTGTACCCAGCCAGAGTTTTTAGTTGCTAATTTGATCTTCACTATGGAGCCAGCGAAGTGGGCATCTCTTGATGAAAGTCTGCATTAGCATGTTGGAAATCCTTTTCGCGAAACGCAATGCAAGTTTCTGACCCATATAGAAGAACTAACCGACTTGACATTGGTATTGTTGACATCTTGTTCTTTATGCTGGCTGCTGAATGACAGCAGAAGATTTTTAAACTGGTTTCACGTTGATGAAGGCATATCTTGTTTTTCCGATTCTGGTCAGCCTTGACATCTTCATCTCTTCCGCCCGTAGTTGAAACGGTGCTTCCTAGCCAGATAAGTGAAGGAGGTAACCTCTGTTAAATCTCTCCTGTCGATGGTGATTAGTGCTGGTTGGTTGGTTGGTTGGTTATCTTCATCACCTCCTTCTTCTCTATGTTCACCTGGATGGAGTCCTGCCTTCACTGCCTGCCTCTTCAGCCAGTTTGTTGGTTTTCGTCTGCCTGCCTGCCTTTGTGTGTGACACTGAACATATATATCATCTGCGAAATTCAGATCTTCTAGAGTCTTCTCATCTGTGGTCCACTAGAGTATTCGACAAAGTTAAACTTTCGACACCAGTAACAACCAATCAGCAAACGACCTTGAACGGACCAATCACATCAAAGAGGCATTTATGATAAGTAGAAACGTATATTTATAAAAAAACAAAGCATTAAAAAAGGGATAAAAAGGTTACAATGGGTATCTTTCCCGAACATTGGACAGAAACATCTCCCAATTCAGCATGGGACTGTCAGTAGAGAAGTCACACCACATTCTATACATATATTCATTCAAATGACTATAAATGAGATCCTTTTGAGATCCATTTATAGCCCGTACCCTATTTTTCAATCGACCCCAAAATCCTTCAATGGAATTTGTATGAGTCCCTGTAACTGGATCCACGAAATCACTGGAGTGGTTCACTCTATGATGAATGTATCCCAGGGATGACAATGAATCGTAACCTTCCCACTCGTTGGTATGTACAAGTGACCCCCATTTGACAAGTTGTGTTTTAATAGGTATCAGATTAGTCGCCTTCCTGTCTGCTATTCTTTAAACAAATCTTTTTCGGAGGGACGTGTCGTATAAACCTATGACTGTTGAGATGACGCTGTTCTCCGTCTCGACAGCTGCGGCTCTCAACGGCTGTTTCACTGCGCAGTAGTTGCAGATATACAAAATCTGAGTTAGGGAGAGATGTGACCTAGCGAAAAATGTTCCTACGAAATATTAAAATTAGCAGCTTACCCTCTCTATTACTAACTCGCTTCCAGCATATTCCACAACGATGGACAAATCCATCAGTTGACCTGGTATAGCTTTTTAGAGTCATTACACCACCACACGAACAAATTCTCTCTTTTCGAAGCAAGCCTAAGTCCAGGCAATACTGAAAGACACGTAACCTTGTAAAAGCACGCATTTGAAATCAATCAAGCGCTATACAACATTGAACCACGTTCGTGAATCTCATTGGATAATTCGACGTCGTTCACTGATTGGTAGTTACGTGTCTAAAGTTTAACTTAGCCGAGTATTCCTCTCTTCTCACTCCCTGTACACACAGTCTTCCACATCAAGTAAACACTAAAACACAATCGCAAGTCTACTTTAGGAAATTTTACGAGTAGTAATCACATAAACAAATAAAAAATGGCTGATATTACAATAACAACTGAAACAATATATGTAAGAATCATTGCAAGGTTATTTATCTGACAGTTGTATAAAAATTTAAAAAATATGCGATAACCAGGGAAGAGGAAAATAAAACTGGCATAAAATGAAAATATTCCTGATAATTATAAGACTGTTAATTAGTTTCTTGTTTCTTAAAAAACACACAGAGAAATAAAAGAAGAGAAAGAGAAAACACGCTAATATAATGCGAATAATTTTGTGACGTGGATGAATTTTTTTGTTTTTTGGAAGGAAACTATGAAACTTGATAATGAACCACAAAAAAACTAGAAAGAAAACAAAAACGAGGAGAAGTGTAACGCAGCTTTAACTCGGAGAAGAGGCAAAAAACGGTTTTCCAACTCCACTCCATTTTATTTCCTTATTCAGTCAGATTGCTCAATGTAAATTTTCTGGCTTTCATAGATTTAGAAGTTTGTGTTACTCCATTATAGATAAGATTTTATTTTATCACACAGTGTTATACAGTAATATTAAGTGATGACCACACGTTTCGAGCATAAATTATTACTGCTCATAATCATATCAAGTCACTCACTCACACAACTTTCTTCCTTCATTTATATACATGAGTGAAATTGATGATTAGACATTTGAATAAAAATCAATATGCGATAATGTACATTCAGAAATAATAATATGAGTGTTATCAATCAAGCACAATCAGATGGGAAATAAGACGAGTGTTTTTATAGTCAAAATAAATAGTAACTTGTTAGAATGTTATGATGTATGTGAATTGAAATAGAATTTTAGGATTATTTATTATCCTCCTCTGATTTGACTGACTGGTGGTAATAATATCTTCTATATCTTTGGTATTTGTGTTGAGTCATTTCTGTTGCGCATGTGTTGAGTGTAGACTCGATGAACCAGGATTCAGTAATCAACCTCTCTCTCGCTCCACCTACCTATATTACTTTTTAGAATTTTAACCCTCTTCCACCCTATTGTGTGATTGTGTGTTAATGCATACATGCAGTGCAATCGCTGAGCTTTTTTCTAAATTAATTTTCTTCTTAGGAGGTCAACCATTCTTACCTTACCTAAATTCTTATGTTCCGACAATCTGATTACCCCCGACCTACTAGTTTGACCTATGTAGTTGAACTCACAGTCATTGCAAGGTATTTTGTAAATTATATTATTTTGTCTAATTGGGTAAACCGAAAGGGTCCTTTAACCTACAGAGCTTGTCCTGCCTGAGTGAGTGAGTTTGTAGGTTTGAATGCCACCTGAATTCCTGCTTTATTCAGAATCCTACTTAGGGTCTCAGATGTCCCCTCTCTCCTTATATGGTAAAACTACTGTAGATGGCTTGTATTCTCTCTCTTATTTATGTTATCATTATTAGTTTTCCCCATTATTTTTATTTTACTCTTGACCTTTTTTGATCTTCCTAATGAATTTTATAGGATAGTTAGTTATTTAACACCAACGCTTCTTCTTCGATCTGTTTCATTTCATCACTTAGGTGTTTTTTTGTGCTACCCAGTCCTTTTGCTTGGTTTGTTAGACATTTAAGGATGGTCAATACAACCCCGAACTCTGTATACAGAAAAAGTTTGTCCAGTCTCTTATTCTACCTTGATCTTAACATCTTCACTAGTGCTTCCCTGTGAAAAAATTTTGATTTTTCTTTTCCTTCTTTAATTTTTAATTTTACCTTTAGTTTTCTTTTTTTCTTAAATAACTAATTCACTATTATCACTCTCATATGTTCCTGTTGTACATTTCCACACTCTTTTCACACTTGTTCACACTTGGACACTCAACTCCTTTATTCTCACTCTAGCAATTTTTAACCTTATCAAATGTCTAACTTTGTTCCATTGAGTACCACGTAATTTACAACTTTTATTATTTTTTTACTTCTGCCGAGTCACTGCCGAGTAATTATATCAATTATGTCACCTTTCCGCCTATTACTCACTAATGGACTACTATACATTTTTGGTAAATATAAATACAACAGTGTACAGCCATCCTGTGAAGATGATTTCGTCGACAAAATAAAATTTTCTCCGCTGAATATTTCTTTCATTTGCTTCATCATTTAGGTTTGTGATGAAAATCTGACAACCGGAATGAATTTAAAATCCCCATTATTATTATTATTGTTCCCTGGGGTTCCTAGTGGAACATAGGGCTTCAACTACACGTCTCCACTTGCTTCTTTCTTCTGCAGTACTTTTCACTTGCATCCATGTTAGTCCATACTGATTCAAATCCTCTTCACACGATCTCCTCCATGTCACCATTGAACGTCCCGCTAACCTTTCAAGTTTCACTCGAGCAATGGTCTGACGCGAGATGTCACCCAGCGGCCTCCTCAACGAGTGTCCAATCCATCTACACTTTCTCCTGCATATTTGTTGGGCGATTGGTTCTTGTTTTGTTTGTTCCCATAGTTTCTTGTTGGTGATTCATTCCGGCGGCCATCTGATCTTGGGTATAGAGCCAGCGAAGAAAGCTGTTGATAAAGGTCTGCAACAGGCTGTTGGAAATATTCTTTGTGACACATTGGCCAAGTTTCTGATCCATCCGTATAGAAGAACTGACTGACTTGATGTTTGTATTGAAAATCCGAATCATTTTGTTGTTGAGTGTTGTTGAGTGACGAAGATTTCCAGATTGGTTTTCAGGTTGATGAATGTGTTTCTCGCCTTCCCGATTCTCGATTTGACATCCTCGTCCGTTCCTCCTGTAGTTGAGACAATGCTCTCTAGATAAGTGAATGAAGTAACCTCTTTCAAATCCCTCCCGTTGATGGTGAATGGCGCTTGATGTTGCTGCTGTTGTTGTTGTTGGTTGGTTATTTTCATAACCTCCGTCTTGTCTATGTTCACCTGGAATCCTGTCTTTGCTGCTTCTTCGACCAGTTTGTCGGTTTTCGCTTGTAAGTCTTCGATTTTGTGTGAATCATATAATTTGAGTATTCTGATCTCTTTTCGAATGAATTTTTATATTATTATTTATACTCTCTCTTTTTCTCTCCATGTCTATCCCTCTGTTTTTCTAGGATATTCCGATATCTCTTCCATCATCAGATATTGTCATTGAATCACCTGAAGAACCTTCAATATCGAATGGAACAGATCTGGAATGTTGCCAACAAAACACTGTATTATCCTCCCCTGAACTTGATCAATCTCTCTCCTGTCCACCAACAGCTTCATACGAGAAACATTTAGAAAAATACAACTATGATGATGATGATGATGATGATTTAATCCATGATCCCTCAGTTGAACCCAAATCTCCTATTTCACCGAACGATGAACATTCAGTACAAGAAATTCCAAGTTCTGTTTCAACTGAAGCAGCTCCACATTCTCCAGAACTTTCATCGACTAGTGGTGCGTCATTATTAATTGGTCAAGAGGATAATTATAAATTAAAACAAAATATTAGTACAGATATTTAAACGCTGAACATCATCCTCATCGGTATCGTCATCCTCATCATCTCCAGTAACTGTAACCAAGAGAGGCAGTAAGAGATAAGTAAAAAACGAAAAAGTTGGTTGGTTTTTGCTCCCATACACTGTGATATTATGCACATATATATAAAATATATTTTGTAAAACAATCGATCAATATAATTTTGAATTCAGTCTATAGTCTATAGTTGGTATTGTCTTTAACAAGAGGGATATCGTCACCTTTCTTTGCACACACTGTAATGCTTATTCATGTCAGTCACCTGAGACAAACACACACACATACAAACACACAAACACACACACACAAAAGCAAATATGACGTATATATACATTATTCTGTTTCAAAACCTTTTGCAGATAACTGAAACGCCCTGAGAAGTATTTTGAATTTGTATACACTGTGTGTATTGACAAATATATGATGACGTAATTGAATGAGACATCAGTTCTGTTCTCTTTTGTTTTCAGTTTTTTTGAAAGCGGACGGCGGGGAGAGGGCGCGTCTGGGGTCAGAAATTCGCCTTATTCCTTTGTCGATTTCGCTTTGAAGTGAAATCAGTTAAAGAATCATTACAAAAGACAAAATATAGTACGAATGAAGAGACAGAAAGTAAGAAATAGAATTTACCTAATAGAGAAGATTTGTAGCTCAGGTGGATGATTTGCATTTAATAGTGTTCTCTGGGCTGGTTGGTTTAGTTGCGAAGCTTTCGTCGTCCTTTCTGGACAACATCCCCTTTCAGCGCAATATTTAGCATAAAGTGAAATGATTTAAATTTCTTCATGAGTGATATAATTGCGTCTCCTGGTAACTATCTTTACATATGTATTGACCATTTTCTATTGACTTGGATTTTAAACTTTCTGGTCACCTGATTTACTTTTTATTAGTTGGTATATTTCGTCTATATTAACATGTTTGTTAATTGCATTTTCGTTTGAGTACCAGGCTTCTAGGAATTCCCTGACAGTGTTTTTGGTGTTTCCTCTGTCTAAGATTTCGACATTATCCCAATCAAATTGATGACCATAATTGTCTATATGCATTGATACTAAAGAATACATACCGTGTCTTTTCACGGCTGATTTGTGTTCTTGGATTCTGATTCGAAGGGGACGCCCACTTTGGCCGATGTAATGCTTGTTGCAGTTCATACAATTTATTTTGTAAATGGTATTAATTTTATCCCCTTTTTCTGTTGGATCTTTCGGTTTGCATAATATCGAATTAAGCGATTTGACTGGCTTGTGTGCTATATTTATTTCAAACGGTTTCAGTATTCTAGCTGTTATTTCAGAAATATTTCTCATGTATGGTAGAATGAATTTTCTTGTGGTCTTTGATGATGGTTCTTTGTTGGTGTTTTGATTCGACTTTAAACACTTTTTGATGAAATTTTGTGGATAACCATTCTTTTTGAAGACCGTTTGTAGGTACTTTCGCAACTAAACCAACCAGCTCAGAGAACACTATTAATTGCAAATAGAATTTACCTGTCAGGTATTAAGATAGATTACGTCCATTGTAAATGTAGTGATTGAATGGCTTCTCTTTTTTTTCATATGACTCGATGAGGATTTTTAAGCTACTTAAACGTTGCGAGGACCCAGTGACGGTGAAGGATCTCGATGGTTTCCTGCGTTACTCCGTCAAGCTTGTGGTAGCCAAGACAACGATTGATTTCTTAAGAGATTGTGTAGACCAACATGAGTATCCAAAGATGGTGTGTTGGAAGTCACTCATCCACAGTCAACCACATCCAACCGAATGCCAGAACACTCAGACGACACACACGAAACAACATCGATTCCATTCAATCAAGCTTTCTCGAGCTAGAATGAAATGTTTACTCAAGAACTATACCATTCTTTCGAAGAATATGTACAACAAGTCACTCAGAAAGAATGTAACAAGACTAAGGCAGATTTGCTCAAAAGCCTTAAGCCTACAATTAATACTGAATCTCCGTTCCCAAACAATCCAGAAAAGTAAGTATTCAATCTCTCAAACATCACAGTGAGCGAACCAAACAAATAGGCAGGAGGAAATGGAGATGGATTGGTGACCATACTCTGAAGAAACCAAACCATCAAGTGGCATCACTAGACAAGCCATTGCTCGAGTGGAACCTCAAAGGAAGGCGGCGAGTTGGTCGTCAGTGCAAGGGTGAGGGTGACTTGTAGGAGGTCATGTGAAGGGGAGATGAAAAAGGGTGTGGGCAGACTTGGAGCCAGGTGAAGACTCTAGCAGAGAACCGAATGCGATGGAGACGCACGGCTGAAGCTCTATGTTACTCTAGGAATTAAAGGAAACAATAATAATAAACCAATTCGTGATTAAGCGCTAATCGCTACAGGTTGGAGTTTCCTGGAGTTCTAGTGAAAAGTCGTGACCAGTGACATCCATCCAGTCAAGTGTGGGGATGGATTTTGCACCAAGGCATTCGCTGTTGCCAGTCGCGCTAAATCACGAATTGGTAGAAGTTAGAATTCATCAGCTGGCCATTGAGTCAGGTGGGTCCCAGCCACTGAATGGTTTACGAGCCAGCTCGACTTGTAACCGGAAGTTCCTAGGTTCGAAATCTCGTGGTGGGTGCATACTACCTATGATTCCCAAACTGGGCTGTTGAGACAGCTGTCCAATAGTCACAGGTAGTTTTCAATGCTTCTCTAAATGATGTCAATCCGTGATCAAACTCATAAAAACAAATGAAATTTGTTATATAATCGTATGAAGAGTTACTGAGATGAAAAGAAAGAGGATTATTAGTAAAAATAAATGTAATGATTAGAAACATATGAATGAAAAATATAACGTTACATCATAAAAAATGAAAATGAAATCTCGACAAATAAAAGTGAAGCAGTCAGTAGTTACCGAGATAGTGATAAGCTAGCAACAGTATCTTTTGAATGCATAATTCGTATACCACTCAGCCTCTGGGACCTGATCCACTTGCCCACGAATTCTAACTCCGCTAGGTGCGCATCACCGAAGAGTCCTAGACTAAGACGAAACAGCTTTGTGCTACTTCCTAGTTTTCAGTGGTTCTCTTACTAAATATCAGTTTCTGATCAAACTTCAAACAGATCAAATACCTACAAACCAACCGACAAAAATTAATCTGATGCTCTCTGGTGACTATCTACAAAAGATGACATTGCCTGAAATTCTAGCAGGAATTATTGATTAGTGTAGTAGTCTACTATGTCTGGCATGAGTAGGAATACTCACCGACGACATTAGCTGGTGTTCAGGCTAAAATCACCAATTTGTAAAGAATAAGACATATGTAAAAACACAGTTTTTTGTTCAGCGAAGAAATTTCTTTTCAACGACTTCATTTTCAAGCTGTACAGTCGTATTTATATTACAGAAAAAGTTATTAAGTGGCACTGAATAATTGCTCAGTCAATATACATGCATGTAATAAGAATAACGATAATTAAAATGTTATCAGGGGTAGAGTTGAAGTGGATAAATTACAAAATTATTAAAGATTGTTTTATAAGTGAATTGAAATCAAAAATGTTTTAAAAATGTCAAGTGTTCTCTAAAATAATTTTAAAAAATTAGGAGTACGATTACGATAAGAATGAAGATGTGAAGTGAAGTGGAACGAATTCAGGTGGTAAAATAAAATAAAGTAAAAACTAGAAAGAACATTACTATGACCAAGGTAAAGAAAGGGGTTTGACAAAACGTTTTTGAACACATAATTTAGGTTTCTGTTCATGTATATATAGCTAAAGCTTCGGCTATGCATAAGTGAAGAAAATGTAAACTTTTGGATCGATTCAATTTTGCCATGTAGATAACTTTGAAAGATGAATCACGTGGGGCTAAATGACTTGACTCTAACAGGTGATCACAAATAGACGACTTCGCAGTTCTACGTTCGCCTTTCATTAACCAGACTGGATAGTGTTCAGCTACACGTTTTCGGAGATTACGCTTACAACGTCCAATATAAACAGCTCGACAAGAGCAGGTAAAAGAGTAAATACACATAGATGTGGACAAAAGCGGTAATCTATCCTTGACGCATTGTCTAATCATATTTCGACTGGTAAAAACTATTTGCAAGTCAGCTGCAGGAAAAGTACGTTTAATACATTTAGATAAACGATTTTTAATCAATTCCGAAATGGTGTCACCTTTGAATGCCAGACTCATAAACAGTTTTTACTATAGGCACTGTGATTTGTCTAGGGGCGGATTCTTTCTTTCTTCTTACATTCGATAAACCTTGTAGGATAACCATTGTTAAGGAGATTTGATTGAAGGTTATCTAGTTCACTATCGATTATCTCTTGCAGAGCAGATTTTACGAATTCTGGAGCATAAGGAATGAATAAGATTTCTCTTTCTCCCTAACGGTACCCAACTGTTGAAGTTAGTGTTCACAGTGCCCAGTGAGTGAATGTTGGCTTTCGGTAAATCGATCTTAACAGCGTGTCATTCTCTTTTCTATCTAGCTTAACATCAAGGCAGTGAAATGAGGAATTCGACTCTTCATCGACCGTGAAAAACAAAGATGGGTGAGAACCACTAAACATTCCAAGAAGTTCGGCAGTTGAAGATTTTTCATCACATACAATGAAGGTATCATCCACATATCTTTTATACATAAACATAGCACTTAGTGACATGGATTTGAATCTCAGAAGGGACGTATATTCATTCAAGGTAGCAGATAAGCCGCCTTGCTGATTTTATAGTTATCTTCTTTTTTTAACTTTGTTTGTATAAGGAGGTTTATTATTGCACTATATATATATACATGCTGAAAATTTTATTCTGTATAAAAGTTATTCTTATGGATAAGGCCATAATTAGTATTTGCCTCCTGTAGTTCGTAATGAAGTGGATCTATAGGTTTTATCGTTTGGCACTAAATTTTGTGATAGCCATTTTGAAATTAATAAAACAGGATGTATAAGTTCAGTTTGAAAGTCATCTACACACTCAAACTGAAGGCCTAACACCCTGATCAACTGAAGATGTTGAAAGACTTGAGTCAACTCTGGTCGATTGTTGCTATTATTATTATACAGAGAAGCTTTAGATAGATATTCTCCGTAAAAATATCATAATAATAACAAGACCAGATAAGGTATCAGAAGTGGTTATCATGAACAAATTGGATTACTTTGGGAAGATGAATACTATTCCCTAATGATAATCAAAAAATTCTAAAAAGAAATCTCATTTTCTCGGGATCCGATTGAGAAGATAGAGAAACAGTTAGTTAGTGGAAGCATTGAGAAGACTGAACACAACAAGGCTTTATCTCACAAAGTCAGCATACATCACACT